TCTATAATGATAATGATAATGATACATAACAATAATAAAATAATATAAAAAATCAATTAAATAGTAATAATGATAATTGTAAAAACTTACTCTGAAATTTAAATATTGCTTTTTATCAAGTTTTAAAAACTCATGCTACTGAACATCCTTTTTATTTATTTTTTGGACTTCCTTATAACTTTCATATTCGTTAAGCTTAATTAGATTTATTATAGACCCTTTTGAAAACTAAAAAAATTATGCATTATCTAATGCAAAATAAACATATGCAAAATAAAAATGTGCCAAAAAAAAAAATCTGTTCATTAATTACACCACGTATAGTGCTACGTGCATCTAGAAGTGAATCTGCAAGAGAAAGTTCAATAGTAATTAATAAAAAATATAATCGACAGCATTGCTCATAGTTTAGTGAATTAGGTAAAGTTGGATCTGTGTCAAATAGTTCAAGAAAGAACTGATAATGCTGCTCAGTACTAAGAGTATGAATATTAATCGAAAAGTTGTTTTGTAGTATCTTATAGCCGAATCCAATTATAAATAGTAACTTATATGCTTTTTTAATATTTGTAAAAGCAAGTAGAAAATGTAAGAAAAAAGAAAACAATAGGTAAATTTTATTTATACCCAATCATTAAACATATCAGTTTTAAATATTATTGATTTTTTTTGTGATCAAAGAGTATAATTATTTGAATAAATATCAATATATACAATATTAGAAATAATTTCTCTTTCTATTTTTTTTTTTATTATAATAAAATTATATCTTATATAAATGGATAAAGTTCTTTGTACATGTGTTTGGTGTCTTCAAGGATCAAATAATCATGGCAAATTAGTTAGTAGATCAACCCATGCAAGATATTCATTAAAACAAAAAAAACTTGGCCTAATTCAACACATATACCTGCTCAACAGCAACATCTAGTCACATCTGTTTCTTCAACAGTTAGATCAATATCATTACCCATCACCCTAGTAATATCATTATTATGTAACAGTCAAGAGCCAGATGACTTAGAATACTATAAAACTATTATAGAAAAAGAGACTTTTAGTAACAATAGTAAATATAATGAAGAAGATTGCAAAGATTATAATGAAGATTGTGAAAATTATAATGAAGAGCATAATGAAGAGTATAATGAAGAGTATAATGAGAAGTATAATGAGGAGTATAATGAGGAATATAATGAGAAGTATAATGAGAAGTATAATAAGGAAGATAATGAGGAAGGTAGTGATGAAGATAGTGAGGATAGTAATAAGAAAGGTAGTAAGGATAGTAGTGAGGATAGTAATTAAGATAGTAATGAGGACAATAGTAAAGAATTTGATAGTGAATATATAAATTTTGGTAAGCTTATTATTAAAATATATAACTTTACTTTCACACTACTTATACGAATTAAAAATTATTTTAGAAAATTTATTTAAAGATCTACAACTTTTTCAAATTAAAAATGAGTATAATATTTCAGAGGTAGCATTTAATGAAATTCTTAGAACTTTAGAGATTTCCAGAGTTATACTTTATAGACTTCAAAAACTTCTTGGAAATCTTGTACCCTTTAAACCAAAACTAGTAGATTGTTGTATTAATTCATGTGTAGAATTTACTGATGAGCTTACTAATAAAGATCACTGTTCAGAATGTAATGAGCCTCGTTATAAGTTTATCAAAACATATAGAGTGCCTAGAAAAAGTACTGCCTACTGGTCAATTATAAGTTCACTTTAAAAACAATATAAAGACAAAATTTGAGCTAAAGCTCTTTATTATCGACATATATACATTTCAACATAAGAGTAAATGATTAGTAACCAGATAGATAATATTTTTGATAGTCTTTAATATAAATCCTTGGTTTCTTTTGGACTTTTTTTAGACTACTAGGATATTGTACTAATAGCATTGACTAATAGATATTAGATCTTTCACCAAAAAAGAGATAACTACTAGGTTATTCTTCTTATAAATGCAAATTTACCACCTGATATACATATTCAACGTGAAAACTTAATGATTTCTGCACTTATCCCAGGACTAAAAGCACCAAAAAATTTTAATTCTTTTTTGAGACTACTAGTAGATGAATTAAAACAATTACAAGGTTATTAGTATATATTGTATAAAGAAAATTTATTAAATAAATTTTTCTTATTCTTATTAATAGTAATCTATTATTTAATAATAACACTGTATTTTACTTATCAAGTTTTTTTTTTATAATAAATTTAGAAGGTGTTTAGTGTGTTGATAGTTTAATAGAAAAAACTTTACTTTTCATGTACATATTTTAAGTTAGTCTGGTGATATTCCAGCACTTGCTAAAGTCATGTATACAACTTAGCATAATTCTTATAAGGCTTGTCAGTTTTGTTTTATTCGTGGAGTATGCTATAAAGAAAGCTGACATATATACTTCCTACTTAAGTCTCAAAATAGTGTATTGGGATACCAATATGATCCTAAAAACCTTCCATTATGAACTCATAATAATTACTTGCTAGATATTACTACTATAGAGCATTTAAATAGATCATCACATAAACGTGAAGTTTAAGAAAGAGATAAAGTATAAATAACCTTTATTAGAAAAAAATTTTTGTGTATTTCTTTTGATTCACTCTATTTATAAATATTTTAAAATAATATGAGTTTAACTATTTTTAGGTATTAATAGTCGAAGCATTTTATTTGAACTTAAGTTAATTAAATTTCCAGATTTATTTCTAGTCGATATTATGCATAGATTATTTGAAAACATCACTCCAGCAATGCTTCAGCATTGGTGTAGCTCTTTTTTTAAAGATAATCAAAATTTAAACTCTGAATATATTATTTCTAATAGTGTATAGACTGAAATTAGAAAAATAATAGAGAAAAACAAAAAAAATATACCTTTAAGTTTTGGTCATCTACCTATTAATATTCAACAGCATTCAGCAGCATTCAAAGCAGAAAATTAGTTAAATTGGATAGTATTATATTTAATTCCATTATTGCAGAGCAATCTTCCAGAATGGTATACTTAAAATAATAAATATTTGATGGTTATACCATATTTAATGACAGTTATTTCTCCTATAGCTGATATCATACAATGTCGAGTAAATAGTCTGTATAAGAATGACTATCAGGAAAATGAGCAAATATTATAAAGGTTATTAATATTTTTTATACTGTATATATTAAGTATTTAAATAGTTAGATGAAATTCGTATATGCAGTAAAGCTATGTCTTAAATATAAGATTAATAAGGCAGAGTTAATAGAAATTAACAAATCATTTTGTGAATTTGTTACACACTATGAAAGGTATTTATTATATGATTTTATTCAATAAAAAATTTATTGAATTTTATTATTTTATAGAGATTATCTTCAAAATAATCCTAGACGGCTTCCAGCTGCACTTATTTCTTATCATTACTTATTATATATCACTACCTCAATTTGCAATACAGGACCTGCATGGGCAACTTGGCAGTATCTGATGGAAAGATTATGTGGAATATTATTGCTACTAGTTCGTTCCTAGCAGCATCCATATATTAATCTACAAAACCAAATCACAATGTGGAATCAGTTTTTGCTCCTTCAGTACAAATCTGAAATAAATAATATTTTTACACCAAATTCAGAGGAGTTATCAAATTATTCTGAAAACCATGTTTTTATTATTGAAGATGTTGAAGAAAAGCTGTATTCATTATCTCTTAGTTATTGTATGAACAGGACTAAAATACAGCGTCTTAAAGCTTATTATGCAACTGCATTAAATAAGTCTATAAATTAGTTAAATATATGTTTTTTACTTTTAGCTTTTATAAAAAAGGTTTATACTTCTCTCATATATCTATTTGTTTTTAAGTTGGTTACAGATACTGTTCGAAAATATAGAAAACTTCAAACAAAACAAGGCATAATAATAAATTCAAGACTATTAAATTATAAAGGTGATGTAGTATGTACAAATTACTATATTGCAGTATGTATATGATTTATTTTCATTTTATATGTAATAGATATTAAATAGTTTGTTGTGTTTATCATAAAAATCATAATTCAAAAATTTAATTAGTTGGGACTGGGCTCTTAGAGGCCAAATTATGATTTGTATTATTTACATTACAAATACATTTAATACCTTATATATATTTCCTGAAGCCTAATGTCTTGTGATTTTTTTACTGATATTTTTAAACTTTTTTTCGCATTAAAGTTTTTTTTTACACATGACAATTTTAAAAAAATACTGATCTAGAAATTTCTGTAATATTATCCTGTTGAAATTTCTATAGATGATCATTTCTAGAAAAGATAGAAAAGAAATTATATAATCATTAAAACATCATGGACAACTATTAGGAAACAGAGAATATACTATATATATACTATAGATGCAGACTTATTTACATCATTAGTTATAGCTCAATTGTGCTTTATTTTATAAACTGTTTTTTTATATAGGACGTAACTAAGTGATGTTATAAGTTTGCATCTATAATATTAGTACTACCAAGGAAAAATCATACATCAGGCTTTCAAATATATTTTGTACTAAACACAATTTATTTAATTTATTAGGAACTGTATTCAGCATAAAATATAATTGAAAGCCCGATGTGTGGTTTTCCTTTGGCGGTATTCATATATATATATATATAGTTTATGTATTATTAACAAGTTTACTAACTTTTTTAGGTCAAACTTTTGGTTGATCATAATACGCATTATAAAAATGCACCTATTATTTTAGAAATGCAAGAATTTTTTGGTGAGATATGTTATTTTTTTTCATATTAATATGATAATAAATGGTCAATGTTGGCATATGTGCAGTGGATTCAAAACCCTCAGCTTTCTAAATATGGTCATTAAAGTTCCGAAATTTTGGCTCATTTGAAGTAATTAATATTAGTAGAATAGACCGAAATATTGGGTTTTTTTTTTTTTTTTTTTTTTTTTTTTTTTTTTAATTTTAACTTGTAGATTGAGATGAGGTTTTGCTTCTATCTTTATTTTTATAAAATATAGTTAAGAATTTATATGAAACTATCTGATAATAAATTACATTCAAAATTAAAACTTAGATAATAATAAAATAATTAAAACTAAAGTAAATACTAAAATTAAAGCTAAATTAAAATTATTTATAATCTAAACCTACTAGAATAGTTAAGACTCATCTAGATTTAATTAGAAAAAATATAGTTTGTAGTAAAGCTATATTTAATTCAATATATTGGCCAAGCAGAAAGTTTTTGTATAGCAAGTTCAGTTAGTGAAATTTGGTTGTGTTGAGAAGAAAGACTATATGAGTTATATGTTTTCTGAGATATATAGGGAAGTTGTCAATTATTTCTGTAATTTTGTTAATAGTTTGAATGTAGTATATGAATATTGTTTTGTTGTTTCTAGTTTGCAAATTCAGAACAGTAGAGTAACTATAGTATTCATAAATTTTTGAATTAAGTTTAAGAAATAACTTAATAGTTGTCTGTAAAGCTAAGTAGATTGAGTTAGTATATAGTTAAATTGTATGAATTGAGTATATATAGTAGGAGTCCTTTAAGTGAAGTAAATAAATTAATTGTATTAGAGAAGTTTGCAGATAGCTAGAGTAAAGGATAATTTATAATTAAGTTTTTTAATATAAGAAATTAAGATTAAGTAATTTCTAAGTTTGTATTATTAAGAGTTTCAGTTACAGATTATGAGATTATTTCTTATAGTATATTAGTATTATGGTTTATAATCTAGTGAAGTTCTAAGTCTGTTTAGTTGTATTTAAAGTATTTGTTGTTTAGTATTATTTTTGAATAGTATTTGTGTAGGTGTAATAGTATTGATAGTTTATTATATAGTAATTTAATTTAAAAAGATAAGTTTACTAAGTTGAAATTAGTAAATATGCTTAAGTATTTGTTGTTATTATTAATATATAACTATGTTGAGTTTTAATCAATTTGGTCATATAAATAAGCCTATAGTTGATTATGATTCTGTGATTACTACATTGCAATAATATAAATATTACAGATTATTTTAATAAGTTTTCATGCAAATTGTTTTATAATAAAATTTTTCTATATAATATAAAAGTTTGAGTTATAAAGTTAGTATATTTAAATTCAAGAAGTAGTAGTATTTAAAAGTTTTGTGTAAGTAAATTAGCTATATTGTTCAGTTCATTATTACTATGAATTGTTACTTTGTGAAGTAAAATTGTGAGCTTGTAGGATTTGATAAATTTAAATAAGGTATACTTTTTTATTATTATTATTATTATTATAAT